TCCACCAATTACCTACATGCATATGCTACTTCCCCAGCACAGTCGTCAGAGAGTAGTAAGTAGACGAAACAAGTCGAAGTGGCATTCGCCTCCGATCCTCGGGCGCGTGCGAATAGGGAGGATGGAATTGCGTAATATTTTGCACACTCAGCACCATATTCAGAACCAAACGCAAATTCTTCGAGATAACCACCATCCGTCGTCTGCCTCGCCGTAGCGGTGTCTGACGTATCTTCGGTCTGATTTACGAGGTGTGCTGAAGGCGTTCCTGAAAAATGAGATCCGTGATACTGTCACCTACGCTAAACACGCCAAGCGTAAGTGGCCATGGATGTCGTCTACGTTTTGAAGTGACAGAGACGCACTATGTTTAGTTTCGGAGGTTAAATCATCACCAACTTTGGCAACAAAACGGCTCTTTTCAGGGCCACCAAGCTTATTACAGTAAAGATTAGGAATAGAATTCATCTGCCTGTTTGTCCATATTCAGAATCAACGACCACACAAAATGCTCATGTAATCAAACTGGAAGCAGGGATACAAATTATTTTGATCAACCTTGATCAACTTTGAATCGCCACGGCCAGATATTTTCGATGGAAGAAGCAACAATCTAGCATCTAATTCGACGAAGACGGCAGGAAACATTTGTGAAGCCGAGTTATTTACGAAAGAGAGTGTCGATGAAAAGAATCGATCAATGTAGATAGGACCTATTGAAAAGTGACGCGAGATTTGTTTTCCGTACTGAGCTCCAATGCTACCGACGCCAGGGAGGCAGCTCCCACACCTGGACCCTACCAATCGACCAATCAACTCAACCGGGGACCATCGGCTTTATTTCCCGAAGGAAGGCGTGATCAGAGATGTTATGCCTTAGAACATGCCGGTGGCGCCGACTGAGATTAGACCCAGGCCTGCTGGGGTGAGTGGTAATCACGCTAACCACCGGCGCCGATATCTTTCACGGTGTTATCACGGCGAATGAGAACGACCCAAATTTGAGTTTAGTTATCTCAGAAATAAGAAATAAAGTGCAGGAACTCAGCGATGAGTAAATTTGCCTCATGTTTTCCCAGGTTTTTCCAGGATTTTCCAGGGGAAACTTCCTGGATTTTATAAAAGTAAAGATTGGATTCACTCAGTCTATTGGTACTACTCCGAGACTGAATAAAATTTTCGTCAATTTCCTCATTTTCTGGCAGATTTTTTAGGTTTTCCTCAGGAAACCATGAGACAAATTTACTCATCGCTGAGTTCCTGCACTTTTGGCGATTATGAGTGAACTAAACTCAAATGTGGGTCGTTCTCATTCGCCGTGTACGCAAAAGGAAAAGAGCCAGTGTCGCTACTTGATAGCAAACTACTCATAATGGGAGGAGTCTTTGTAGCTTTTATACCACTTGGTTGCACATCATTCTGCTTTAACCTGAAAAGATATAAAAGAGCGTTGCTGTATGGCATTAGCTCATCATTCTCCTTCTGGAACAATTTGGTTTCAGAAAGGGGCATTCCACCAATCACCAGCTAGTACGGGTGATGAATAACATCCGAAGTAACAAAGCTGAATCCAAGTCCACAGCCATGGCCTTGTTAGACGTTGAAAAGGCGTTTGACAATGTTTGGCATGACGGACTTGTGTACAAGCTTTGTAACTTCAACTTTCCTTCAAATCTGGTTAAAATCACTCGTAACTACCTCAAGCAAAGGTCGTTTAAGGTATCGTTGAATGGTTGTCTTTCAGACACGTTTTTCATCCCAGCAGGAGTCCCGCAAGGCAGTCTGCTGGGCCCCTTGCTATACAGCATTTACACTTCCGACATTCCTCGCCTCGGTGACGGTTGCGTGTTTTTCCTGTTCGCAGATGATACCGCAATAGCCGTCAAAGGAAGGATGCCTCACGAAATAACGAACAAACTTCAACGATGCCTTAACGCCTTTGCTGATTATGCCAACACGTGGAAAATTAAAATCAATCCCTCCAAAACACAAGCGATCATGTTCCTCCATCGGCAATCGCCCAAACTAAAACCGGCTCCCTCTTGTACTGTAACCATGGATGGTACAAGGGTTCAGTGGTCTGCCGAAGTAACCTATCTCGGGATGTTGTTCGATGAAAAGCTCCTCTTCCGTTCGCATGTAGAGAAAACTGTAGTCAAGTGTTCGGCCTTGGTTAGGTGTCTGCACCCGCTGATTTGCCGCAGATCCTGCCTCTCAAGGGTGAACAAACTGGCTGTCTACAAACAAATCATAGCACCTGCGATCTTCTATGCAGCTCCGGTGTGGGAATCATGTGCACAGACTCACAGGAACAAAATTCAGGTCGCTCAGAATAGAGTGCTGAGGATGGTACTTGATCGTCCTTTCGACACTAGAATAACAAATTTACACGAAGAGGCAGGCATTGCCAAAATAGACTCCAGAATTAACGAAATTAAGACTAAATTTGCACAAAAATGTAATTTATCAGAACATGCTTTGATAAGCAATTTGAATATAGTAGATTAATGGTATATAGTAGTTGTAGGTTAGTTGTAGTTGTAAATAGTAGTTATAAGCAGGCTTGCAATTGCTCATTACAGCCAAAATGCTATTTTTCGTTATTATGAAACAATGGGATACTATAATGATAATTTTTATTTGTAAGATGCAAGAAGTGGTGGTAAAGATTGTATATGACATATAAAATTTGTCAATTTTGCTTTCAGAAGGTCACAACTAGCGATTGCTCACTCATCGCATTGCTCATCGTTACAGCTAATCGCTAGTTGTGACCTTCTGAAACTAAAATTGACAAATTTTATATGTCATATACAATCTTCACTACCTCTTCTTGCATCTCACATATAAAAATTATTATTATAGTATCCCATTGTTTCATAATAACGAAAAATAGCATTTTAGCTGAAATGAGCAATTGCAAGCCTGGTTGTAAGTAGTCTTCTTTTTAAAATTTAAAACAAACCAATCCCACCAAGGTGGTCATTCTCTAAAACAGGCCTGATATGACTAGGAACTGTAATTAATAATAATTGAAATTTCACAGGAACTAAAGTTGAAAAGACGCATCTGTGTCACTTGATAAGTTATACATGTAAACCACACAAATTCAAGAAATATAGATCATTTAAAGTCAAAAAAAGGCATTAGCTCATTTTCGCTTCGGACGGCGTGGTGATCAGCAATAGCAGCAGTAGGAAGGTGGTGGCTAGTCCACTATTTCACACCTAACAAGCAACAATTGACTGGTCGTGGCAAAGGAGGAAAAGGTCTGTTTAAGGAGGCGCCAAGCGTCATCGCAAAGTTCTTCGACATAACCGCCATCGGTTGTCTGGCTCGACGTGGTGGTGTCAAACGTATCTCCGGTCTGATCTACGAGGTGTGCTGAAGGTGTTCCTGGAAAATGAGGTCCGTGATGCTGTCACCTACACTAAACACGCCAAGCGTAAGTGGCCATGGATGTCCTCTTCAATAAAACGGCCCTTTTCAGGGCCATCAAGCTTACATCAGTAAAGAGTTGGAATAGAATTTATCGGTGCTTGTTTGTCCATATTCAGAACCACAAGCCTCCAACGATCACACAAAATGCTCTCCAGAGTTGTAATCTTGTAACCAAACTTGGAAGCAGGGGTGCAAGTGATTTTGATTGATTGTCTTAATCAACTTTCTCTTTGAAAAAAAATACTACAAATTTGGTACGCATACAATTCAAAAACGGAAAGAGTTGAGATAAAAGATAATTGATCCATTAAAAGAACTTAATGCTCTTCACGTTTATTCCATCCACTAACGGTCCTTCGTAAAGCTTCCGTTCGTGCCCCTAGGCACAGACTCTTCTACTTTTTTCATGAAAAACTCCCACTGCAACCAACGGAACGGTTAAAGGAAAAATATTAAATTGTTTGCAAGCTTCTTCACAACATACGCAAGAGATGATATAGGGGAATTTACGTATTCTCGGCAACCTAAGCTGCGACCTTGTTTCTATAGCCTTTTTCTCTAAGGAACGCACACATATTGGTTTGGTATTGGTTTGTTTACAATCTTTTGCTGCCAGCTGCTCTAACAATTTCAGTCGAAAGAATTGCCAAAAACTGTTTTGAAACGCTTTTACAAAGCTCCAATCTTCTCTAGTGAGAGCGAGTATTGTCGGCAACCAATTTTTCTTCGGCAACCGTTCCATTTGAACTGCATGTAAATCTGCTGTTCTATTATGGGCAACTCGAAATCAGCTACAATTTGTAGTGCGTGTGTTTTATTTCAAGAAAACCTTGCTAGATTGTTTTTTCTCAGTGGTAAAAATATAGTCAAATTGAAGCTGAAAGCATAAAGAATCGTTTGCATGCATAAGCGAAGTGTTTTCGTAAGAAAATCCGTTGAAAATAGTGTTTCGATTTGGGTTGCCGAAAATAGTCTGGCATGCCGAAGCCGTCATTTACCCTATGTACGTAAGTTAATTGCAGCTTTTTTGTCATTTCTTCGTTCTGATTAAGTAATTATTGTGTCAACCGTGTTTGTTACAACAGAGCTTGCAAACAATTTTATCTTTTTTCCTTCCACCGAACTGATCAAGCTTAATTTAGGAGAGCGGTTGTCGTCGCAAGTGTTTTGTTGTTATTCACGGTTTGAAAAATGCATGTAGATTTGGCATAAATTTACGTGATATTTTGTGTAAATTTCAACGCAATATTACGTAAATTAGCAATATCGTATGCAAGGTTGTAAACGATTTCGTTGGTTATGCCAACTGTAGCTCAAAATTAAACAAGGGAAGTATCAATTACATCATAGTGTAGGAGGAAGTTGCCCTGATACTGTTGGTTTGCGTGGGTGACCTACGCTTTTCGAGGAAAAAGCTTGCAAAGCTATGTTTATGAAAGATGATAGAATTATTGATTTAGACTGTTTATTGGCATTGTATTCAACATTATTGTTGATTTATTTTTTACACCAAATGTTTTCTTCAGCATTAATTCAGCACAAAATGATTGGAAAATCACTGTTTAAAATTCGGTTTAGTATCCTCCGTTGCTGCATCTGGCCAGAGCCGGATAATCACAACGGTTTACAGTGGATCCGAATTCTAGACCAGCTGGGCAGCTCATTTCGTAGGCACGACCTCCATAACACTTCATGAACTTGCTGCAATCTCCACGAATTGCCAAGTGGGTTGGGTTCTTGGGGTCGTCACTTCTGGGGCAGCGAGAGTCAACGACTCCTGGAACAATTTTGTATCCATCGGGGCTCATGTTTTGCTGGTACATCTGCGGCTCCTGAGCCTGAGGTTGCGGCTGTGGTTGTTGCCATTGCATTTCCTGTCCCCATTGAGGCTGTTCTGGTTGCTGAGGTAGCTGCTGATGTGACCACTGTTCCTGCTGAGGCCATTGCTGTTGGTAGTTGCCGTAGTACTCCGGCAGGGCCGATACGCCAACGGAGGCGATAGCCAGGCAAACGATGAAAGCTGTATGGAAAATTTAATGTTTAATTATTAGGCTTCATTCTCTTTCAAACCCGTACCTTTCATGGTTGATTTATTGTTGTTATGCTGTAGTGGACCTGAAGGAAAGTGATACCTCTCTACAAAAAGTTTTCTGCTTTTATACTAACGCAATGAAAGAGCTAACTACATCCGTATCGAAATCAATACAAACTTCCGCTAATGTATCGGTATCATTTAAGTGATATTTCAGATCGATCATTTATCAGTATGCGACTTCGTTATTCAGTCTTAATGAATATTGCTGATAAGATGCGTTAATGGTATCATGACCAAGTGTTCCTATAGGTCATGGTCCATCACGGATGTGAATGATGATAGTTGCATCGTCATGCTTTCACAGATTTTAAATTTGATACTGCCTGACCCCATTAGGACTGGAAACTGTTTAAAGAAAAAAAATAAACTAATTTGGAATATAACACCCGCTTATAAGTTTGAGGTCACCCCACACAAAAATATGTTAATGTTTTTTGTTGATATCTCTGTTATTTTCCGGTCAATTTTAATTCTCTTAAGGTATTTTCAAAGGTATTGAACGAAACTTACGTTGCAGATATTTGGCTCGGGGTATTTTTCTAATTTTGTATACTAAAACTTCACCTAAAGTATCAAAATTTTCCAAAACTTCCACTGAATATTCATGAATGATTTTCTCAGAAGTAAGTTGGCTCAATTTTGAAATGAAATTGGTAGTAGCACCCTAATTCTATACACAATAAGGAGCGTTTGTGAAAATTTGGTAGAAACATTTAGAATACATTTTAAATAATTAAAAGAATAATTCAAGTCATCGATCAAATGTTTCGGGTCACCCTGAAAACAAAACCTGCAAATGTTTTTGCTCATCTTTCATCAATTTGCCTTTCAAATATAGATGTCTGGTACGGGCTCAACATAGTTTTTTTTTTCTTCATTTGTATACTAAAATTATTCCTAAATTTACAACAGTGAAACACCATACTGTGGTACCCCAAACTTTTGATCGATTGCTTGAAAAGCTATATTATTGATTTAAAATGTAATCTAAACGATCGTTCCTTATTGCGTATATAATTAGGGCCCTACTACTACTTTCATTTGAGGGGGTTAGAAGGAAAATAAGTGACTTTGATCGATTCTATTCATCGACTTTTTCTTTTGATAGCCACAGCTTTATAAACAGATTTTGCGCTATTTCTGACACATAGATTGTTAAAGGAGGTTCTCATCTAGCATCCAGAATGGCATTCGAATCAAGGAATGTGTTTGCAGCTAAATTACTAATGAAAGAGAAATTCGATGAATAGAATCGATCAAAGTCACTTACACCACTTTCCTTCTAACCCCCTCATTTCAAAATGAGTCCGACTTAGTTCAGAGAAAATCAGTCAAAAATATTCAGTGTGGATTTTTGAAAATGTTGTAACTTTAGGTGGAGCATTCAAATTTGAAAAAATATCTTGTGCCAAACACCTATATTGATTTCATTCTGGAATTCTTCTGCATCCCTAGAATTACTTATTTCCATGAAGAGCTTCATGTCGTCTGCATGAAGCAGTTTACATTTTTTTTAAGTATGTAGGAAATGTCGTTTACGTCCAAAATAAAAAGAAGTGGACCTAAATGAGAACCCTGGGGTACCCAAGAGGTGACTGAAATTAGTTCTGAAAGTTTATATTGAAAGCGGATTATTTGTTTAAGATGTGTTAGGTATGATTGAAGCCAATTCAAAATTCCAGGCTCCATTCCTATTTTCTGCAATTTGAGGATTAATAATGGTATGTCGATGCGGTCAAATGCTTTACTGAAGTCGGTGTATAGCGCTTCAACGTGCTTGTCACTGTCCATCACTTTAAGAATGAAAGATACATATTCTAGAAGATAAGAGGTAGTAGAGCGACCTTTAAAAAAGCCATGCTGTTTACTTGTAATTAGATTTTTCACCTGCTGAAAAATATTGCCGTTTACGATTGATTCAAAAAGTTTTGGAAAGCAAGAAATAATAGCAATTCCGCGATAATTTTGAATGCCTGATTTTGCGCCTGATTTGAAAATAGGTACCAAATAAGATGATTTCCAAATTTCAGGGGATTTTCCATTTTTCAGAGACATATTGAAAAGATGCTCTAGAGGAAATGCGAGTTCTTCAGAAAGGTTTTTTTTTTTAAATATGGGTGCAATGCCATCAGGTCCAGACCCTTTAGACGCGTGTAAGTTTTTTAGTGCATTGAGGACTTCATGTTGAGAACGTTGGTTGACAGAAATGTTTTTAGAAATTTCAGGAATGAATGCAAAGAAATCGCGGTCACGATCTTCTTCGGAAAATGTGGTGTATACGTCTTGGACGAAGTTTGCAAATTTCAGAAGAATTCTCACCTACATTTGCATCCAAATTCATTCGCGAAGGAAAATTGCTACTTTTTAATTTCGTGTTTACATAATTAAAAAACTTCTTTGGACATGACTTGACTTTGCGGTTATAATCGTCATATGCAGAGTTGTTGGCTGTATTTAGTTGGTTGCATAAGTTGTGATAGTTTCGCAAATTGGTTTCAGTTTTTGTATAGCTTATGAGCTTTCTGTTTTTATTCTTCAAATTTTTCAGTTGTGGATGGAACCATGCGGGTAGTTCATTGTTTTGTGTTCATCTTCTTTTTTTTTTTGGTACAGTTTCTAAAATTAGGCTTTGAAGAATTGAGTGAAATTTTTCTACTTCAGTATTGACATTTCCTTCAATACTTATTAAATTCTGCTAAATGATTGCACATAGTCTACGTTTGGCTTCTTCGTAATTTGCTTTATTGTATTCCGGCACTTACTCGTATTCCCAGTCGCTGGAGGAAGAAGAATTTTCTACGAAGATTGAGTATTCAATTGCTGTGTGAAACACTTCATTTTTCTATAAAGGTGCTAATGATGTATACACACAGAAGTCTTCAGTACAATTTGTAAATAAAATGTCTAAATACCATCAGCTGTTTGTTGATGGTGATTGTGATAGGTCGGAACTCTGCCCTCACTTATACTAGATCACTACTTTATTTTTCCGAATAGTCTCAGTTCTGGCGAGGTTATTCACTCCATGAGGCCGGTAAAGCACTCCTCGTTTTTTCTCATGCATGGGTGCCATCTCACTGCTCGATTCCGGGCAATGAAAAGGTGGGCGCTATTGAAGGCGATATTTGCGATCGACAAATCGCCTTCAACGATTTTTTTTTCTTCACTTATCGTCAACAGTCACTCGCCAGCAGGCGAAATAAATGGAGTGAAGAGAGTTTGCGACGGTGGCTATATTTGATCATCCCTAAGGTGTTAAAGAGTCCTTGGTTCAAAGGGTTGGAGGTGGTTTAGTCATTTAATTTCACTTAAATCATTAACTTTCACAATGCAATAATCAATTCAGCCGGAAAGTGTAAATTTTGTAACTATATAAAGGGCAACAGTGGCATGAGAAACTGGTATGGTGCATGCATATTTAATACTAGACTTTATCTGAAATGCAGGAAAGATTGCGCTTTGCAGTGAGATGCGCACACGGTGAGCAAACTGATAGGAGGCAAATGTTCTTATGCCCATTTTTTAATTATTAAGTTCAATAAAATTTCAACATCCACTCCATAAAAAAGGCCGATGTGCCAATACCAGTGATGGAATAATCCTCACTCAAATGCAACATTTTCCGAAGAAGCTCGGGACCGCGATTATTTTGCATTTTATCCCGAATTTTCAAAGTACATTGGCGTCAATCAACTTCAAATATGGAAAAGATCATTTTTAGTAGGTGAAATGTCGGCTTCGGCAATACCTTAACCTATTATGGTCTGGGGGTAAACAAAGTCCTAGAGCACTCAAATTTTGCCAATTGATGCTCTCAAACACATGTCAAAATTGAGCTCTCAAGGACATTGTTTACCCCCTGACGATAATAGGTTAAGGTATTACCGAGGCCAACGTTTCCCCTACCTACTTTAAAATCTGGCCGAGAGATTTTTTTTTTAAACGTACTTAATTATTATGGAATAGCCAGTATCTCTTGCATTCCAAAGCTTTTCGAGGCAGTTGTAAACAGTGTTTGTTTGGTTGGAATTTTTATTTAGATTTTTTCTACATTTAAAAAAATCAAAATCTTAATAATCGAATCGAAAAATGTTCAGGATGGAAAACAATAAATTCAGCCTTGGAAAATTTGGCTTTTGAATCTAGACAACCACTAAGACGTTGAAGTATGTTTGTTAGATTTTTGAGGATAATTCATAAGGAAAATGTTAAAGGCATCTGATAATGTTTAGCATTTTTTTTATGTACCTGTGAGTAACAGCAGTCTGAATTACTTAAGAATTCTAAATTGCCCTAGAATTTCAGAATTTTAAGGTAATTTTGAAATAGTTTACAGTGAAGTGTGAGGCGAATTCTTTGCGAAACCAAAGGAGAATTTCAAGTTAATTCAGAGTAGAGTTCCATCCATCTTTGTAAGCTTCGTGGTTGTGCGGTGTCACCCGTCCTTCAGGCGTATTGTGAGTGCCACGAAGGGAGAGTTCGATCCCCGCTCCAGCAAGTGGAACTTTCGCAACCTGAAAATTTCCCTACTGGTGTGTTGTCAGTTTTCTAGTGTTAAGTTTTCAGTCTGTGCAACCTCTGGTTGAAGACAGTGTCAGTTGTCTTTTAAGAACTCTGATGACAATTGCATGGAGAGTTTGTGAAGAATGGAAATAGAATTCGGAAGAGAAATCAAAGTAAGTTCTTAAGATGAAACTTAAGCAGTTTGCTGATACAAATCGTGAGAATAATTTCAATAGAATTCTGTCCAATGTTCATTTTTATAAAATTTTAAGGAATTTAATCGGAATTATGCCAAAAGAACGTCACGCAATTTCCGGGAGACTTTCAATGCCATTTTGGCAAAGTATTTGGAATTCAAGATGGGGGACCAAAATCCAATATGGCGGCCCGGACAGGAAATATTCATCTAAACCCATGCAATATGGGTATCTACGGTATGGGCTCGATGAAAGGAAGTGGAAAATTGACATCCGCCACCATTTTGAAATCCAATATGGCGGACCAAAATTCAATATGGCGGCCTACGGACAAGGAATATGCATTTAAACCCATGCAATATGGGTATCTACGGAATGGGCTCGATGAGCGGAAGTGGAAAATTGACATCCGCCACCATTTTGAAATCCAATATGGTGGATCAAAATCCAATATGGCGGCTCAAGAAACATAAAATCGCTGATTGTGACACTCCGGAAGCGAAATTGACAGGTGTCATGTTTCAAACACATGGAACGATATCAAAAAAAGTAGGACATGACCATTTGCGGCGAAACTATTGAGTGTAGCATTTTGATGTCTTCTAGAATGTTTCTTAAATTTTTGAATACTTTATATGAGTGGTGAAAATTTTTAATTCAGGGGGTTGTGCATGATTTTAAATGTAAAATTAAATTTAAACATAGTTAAAATGTAGTTCGTTTATTTGTAAGGCTCAATCGCGTTAGCTTTACGGAGCCGATAATTCGTTGTTCTTTGTTTGTAACAAAATTCACTTAATTCTATGTCTAGTAGGAGTTGAACCGAATACTCGTAGCTTACCCGAGGTTAGAGGGGTACATTGTCGAATGATAGGAAAAGGGGAGGAGCTTGGGAATAGGGTTTCGTTGTCTCATCAGAGCGATGTCACCTGTATGAACGGTAGTGTGATTCTAGATTCGTCTGGAGTTCGACTGGCTATGGTGACCAGTGGGCGACGATGAGACTCATCGAGACGGGGGACAAGACAAACAAAAACTAATAAAGAGATACAAAAGACATAAGGCAATGTTATTTAAAAATGGCTATGATTTAGGTACATGTCATGTACAATTCCTTATTTTTTGCTGTGCCATGTGTGACGGCTCGGACGACGGTTACCACGACATCGATCATGTTGCTTGGTCTTGTGATTTATAATGTGTTGCAAGATCTGAGTTGCGTGAATCCCTTAAGAGCTGAGGAAAACAACCTGCTACATCCGTTAGAGACGTTCTGGCTAGCTGTAATCCCGAATATTGAAGTTGATTTACAATGTTCTAAAACGGATCGATTTGAGAATTTAGAAGTCCTTATTATTTTTTTCAATTGATGTGTCAGTCCTCTTATCGTTCTCCCAAGATATACCCTTTTTTGTGTTTCGTTTCAGTAGTCCCATAAATCATCCGTTCACCTTTAGAGATTCAGATATCTGCAGTACTCCCTCCACGTTCATCTACCGATGCAACGGCGACGGAGATTAATAAGACAATTCACTTCCAAAATCAATATTTTTGGAAAAATGTTAAAATCTCCATACATTATTTTTCCGTTTAACTTTTTGTCATAGCTGACAGCATGCAATTATCCATAGAGTGCTGTCTCCTATCCCAAAAATAAAACAACGTTTAAAAATGACATTTGAACTAATACAATAGCATTGACTATATTCCCCAAAATAATATAATAGTAACCATAAATTCAAGACCGCGTTATCTGGAAGCCATCGTTAGGAAGCTGCAGTCATCTTCGTCGAACAGCTCTATTTCCTATCCCATAAGGAGGCAAATTGGATGTTTGTAGATAAAAAGTCCCTCGAGTGCTGTTGAAAAATAAAAATGTGAGGTGCTAGCACCTGCCCTTAAGAATTTCTACTCGTGACTGCATCGCAAAAGTTCGCTTCTAGAAAGTTCCGCATTGGAAAGTTTAGCATGGAACAAGAAGTTTTCCTGCATTCGTCCGTACCTTTGATTTACGTACTCTCCCATGATAACATATTTTCTTTGTTTTGAGCGGATTTCCACTAGCATGCAAGCGGATGGTGAACTCAGAATTTTCTTCAACTCGCACTCATGGGCAATGAAATTTTCTGGTATGAGAATTGATTCGGCAAAGAAAGCTGGTGCTCTATAGTGGCTGCAGGCATCTGTAGCGATGTGGAAAACGGAAATAGAATAGTTTGTTTCTTATCATCGCATTATTAATTAAAATTACTTACGTAATGTTAGAATATCCAAAGCTTCACATCCGGGTTGGGAAGAGAGTCCTCGGTTAGGATAAAAGTCTATGTGAGCCCTATGAACGGTTTCTCCTAGGATGATATCGCTGTGAATGGCATCCACAAAGTGAGCATCTGAGTGAGCAATTGCATCGGTGGATAGTGTAACGAAGTGCGGCCCAGCTGGATCCAATGCTGTAATTCTTTGAACAAATCTTGCATTATGCATTACACGATGAATAATTAATTATTCTATGAACACATGCCTTGACAGTTTTCCGCCGAAATACTTTCCTATATTTCCAGCAATGTGCGCTCCGAGACTGTGTCCTATCACATGCACTCGATCGTAGCTTATGTTCATATTGGCAACGAATGTTGACAAAATCGATCCTATTCGGTACCCCAATGCACGTGTCAGTTCCCTTGCAATGGGATATGGTTTTGACGCTATGTTTGCCCAATCGGCAGCTAATATGTTGTGTTTGTTTTGGCTCAAATAAGCATTTTGCACTGGTGTCAGTGCAAGCTGGTGACGATTAGCATTCCATCCGTGAACTATTACTTTCAGTTGCTTTTGTGCATCAAACTCTGACAATGGGCCATTTTCGGAAATGTCAACATCATGCGTTGTACTAATCAAAATAAACAAAATGGCTTAATCATGCTTTTATGTAATTATTTTTCCACTCACCTTGCGTAGTAGTAGAGTTTCACTTGAGCAAGTTCATCCTCGAAAGGTGTGTGTTGTGCCGCCGGGCAGCCAAAACGAAGGAATAGATAGAGTAGAAGTACTGAAGGCATGTTTTCTTTGAGCTGATTCTCGATTGCTACTGAATGCATGTTAGGTTACTGAAAGGCGAAAGATGCACACGAAGATACAACGATAATCAGCGCATCATGTCACGTAATGCAGGGCATTATTCTTGATTGCAAAGTGTACAATAATCGGTTCTGAGTCTATGCTAATGTTCACACGTGCATGATAGGGCTTAACGACCGTTAAACTGTTACCAAGTGGAGGGATATGATAAATAAGAGAAGTGCCTTCTTTCATGTAAAATTAAAAAAAAAATCACTGCTGCAAAACAATTATTTCTGGATTAATTATCCTCAAGTACTTATTTACCATAATAAAAACAATGCTCAATACCATGAAAGAAAACGTAAGGGCTGCAGGTACTAAAAATTCGGTGCCACCCAGCTAAAGTACAGATGTAGCTGTCTCCGTGTTCCACGAATAAAGCAATTTTGTCCTTTCGGCAAAATTTGAAACCTTTTCTGCTCGTTTTTCATCAAAAAGCAAACAAAAGTAATCCCTTGATAAAGTAAACCTCGTAAAAAAGTTTCATTTGGTTCATCTCGAGGGTAGCAGCTTTCCTTGGCTCAATTTCTGCAGTCACATGGGCCCGTCAACAACGACACCATCTGAGGCATTCCGCTGAATACAGCGATGATCGAAAATAATTTCAACCGATTGATATCGGAGAGATTTTACACGGAGTCCTGTTCCTCTTCTTGGTCTCTATCGGTTGCACGATGATTCGAGTTATAATGAAGACGACGACGACGAGGCAAAAGCAGCTGACTAACCGGTGGCATTTTCCGTCCTCGGCGTCATGGATGACAGATTGAAGATGGGTAATCCGAAAACTCACGCCATGAGCCCACCGCGGATCGATGAGTAGCCGTATTGGTTCGCTTGAGGGGTAGGAGCGAACCCGAGCTACGGAGTACCTCTGTAAGATAAGTGGAAAAACAATATTTGTTGAGAGGATAAGTGAAATTGAACAAGCGCTTACAAAATGCACCTCATGGTGTGCGTAGTCATACATAAAGTTCTACAAGGTGCTTGATTTTTTTTTGCAAAGGGTTGCACAAACTAATGAATAGAGCGTATATCAAGGAGTTGCACGTTCAGCTGTTCTCATAATATTAAAAAGTACTGCTGTACGGTTGCAATTTAAATAGAGTTTTTGCCAACACGCTTCTCGCATTTCAATTGCCAATGACAGAATGGTTATTAATTTCGAAATATTTAGTTAAGATTAATAGTACGTACTAATGATACAAAAGAATTAAACAGTAAAATAATATGTTTTGTCTTTATCTCCACATCTAGAAGTGTTATTTTACCTTTCTAGTGTACAAATCGAGTGTATATATTTCCTATTTTTCTGTGTACCTAAAATCAAATTTCTTGAAATATGGAGCGGACTTTGTGGCTCAGAACATCGCTTTTGTTCCACCCAACTCAATCAAATCATCTTGGTATTACTATGGTAAAGTGAACTTTTTGTATTCCTCGTCCTAGTCTATTGCCATAATGATATACGTTTAAACTTGCTATCTGTATTGATGTTTTTACAGCTACATCTCTGTTAAGGTTCACATTTAATCACGAACAGTGGGAAAAATACGGTTTGCTAGCTGGCGTTGCTGGATAACAACTTGTCATTTACGCTGCAGCTCCGACAGAATTTACGTGACTGCCCTGCTGACGGAAATTCAGACGCCGCACAGTGGCACGAATATAAATAAAGACGGTCAAAAATATTTTCTACCCTTTTTCGACGTTTTAGAGACTGGGTGCCTTGGAAGAAGTTGTTCAAAATTATATTTCGCATCTTTTGATATACACACCTGAATAATCTTTAAGCTAGTATTACACATCCAAATTCTAGCTTTTTCCAGTTACGAGATAATGGTTCCATGTCTTGGACAAAGTTGTAGAGCAGTTGATTTTATGAACATTTTTTAAAGACACCAAATTTCTACATCATAACTCTGTAGAGCTATAATATATTTTCTTTTAAGACTACCTTAATATTGGTTTTTTGAGTTAATTAGTGGTTTTTTCCAAATTTGATCAATTCATCATGTTCTAAGAAATTGTTGGCATCATTAAAATATACAACTTTGCTGAATACACCAATGCTTTTCATTGACATCAATGTGATATACAGCTCATCAAGCGTTTTTGTGACGTCATATTCAACGGCTTGAAAAGAGGGTGGGCGGGCCTTGGCGGGGTCTAAAACTGGTTGTATTTTGAAGATTACCTTATAAAATAGTACTCCTGAAAATTTGAGCATTGGGTACCGAGGGGTACCTAGTAAAATTTCGTTTATATATATTTAGTATAAGTTATAAACCAATGTGTGCTACGAGTGTGCTACTTACTAGGGTGTCCCAAAATTGCACTATGTCTGGAAATCTGGGAAATGTTGTTTAGAGGTCGCCCCGAAGAGATTTTTGAAAAAAGTCCATTTTTCATAGCTATTATCCAATTTATATTTTTAGTTCTTTAAATTTCAGTGAAATCTCACCCTTTTATATTTTTCTCAGATTCCCAAGGGTCAAAACTATAAGAGAAAAAATTGTTGTGGCATGTTCTGTGTCCAATTTGTTAGTTACAATTTTTCAAATTCTCTAAAATGATGTTTTTTGTTGTACATCACTGCATTCAATCATCAAAAGTGGGTATCAAAACATAGCGCTATTATCAATCAAATGCAGCAAATATATGGGAAATTTTATAAGCAAAAACTTTGCCGAAGCTATGAAAAATGGACTTTTTTCAAAAATATCGTCAAGGCGACCTCTAAACAACATTTCCCAGAGTTGCCGCCATACAAAAGTTTGTTTGTAACACCTTTAGCTATCAGTTGGAGGTTGAGCCCCCAGATTTCCAGACATAGTGCAATTTTGGGACACCCTACTACTTACTCATGATAAAATTTACAACTATATAAAAAATGCATTATCTTGAAATGTCATCAATGGGTTTGTTAATCAACTGTATATTCTGAACTTTGATATTTTGAGTATGCCGATATTGAAAAAAAAAATATGTTTTCATTACTCCTTACGTGACTATCTTCGATAATATTTGACATGATGATTTCCGTGAATCTTCTCCGCCCACACTTTGAACAATTCCATCCGACAAAGATTGAATTCATTTTGAACCACAACTTCAAAACAAGTTGTTCGTGAAAAAAATCCCACCTAGATAATTAAATAAACCCTACCGCTCTTTGCTATCGCCAAAACGTCAAGCACAAAATAGTCATCTGCAGCAGCGTTCAGCGATGTGCACGCGGAAATTTCAAACATCTGTTGTGAAGTCACGTTCCATGTTCTGAAAAGAGGGTAGGGTGGGTAGGTCCAAAGATGGAACCCTTTAGAACCGTAGTCATAATTTTATCATTTATTCTAGTTTTCTTGAAAGTTATACCGATAGGTATAGCGAATATTTTAGTCCATATTGTATATAATAAAGGGCAAGGAATAAACCAATATTATTAGCTTGCATTATAATATTTGCAACTATCAACATATGCGTATCAATATTGCAATGAATGTACATACTAATGTAGGTACACTGAAGAACAAACACATTAATAACAAACCCATTAAATACATCTCCAGATTAAGCTTAATAATTTAAATAATTTGAAGCAAGCTTGCAAATGCTCATTACAGCTAAAATGATATTTTTCGGATTTATGAAGCTATGAGATATTTTAATGATAATTCTTATTTACAAGATGCAAGAAAAGAAGTTAAAGTGTGTGTATGACACATAAAACCTGTCAATTTAGCTTTCAGAGGGTCACAATAGCGATTAGCTGTAACGATGAGCAACGCGATGAGCGAGCAATCAGCGATCATAAAATCGTTAGTTGTGACCTTCTGAAAGCAAAATTAACAAATTTTATGTGTCATACACAAACTTTACCACCTCTTCTCGCTTCTTACAAATAAAAATTATTACTATAGTATCCCATAGTTTCATAATTACGAAAACTAGCATTTTAGCTGTAATGAGCAATTGCAAGCCTGTTTGCACGTTCAAACATGTGTAGGTTAAAATCATTGATTCATAACTCAATACCCACCGCTGAACTTTTTAGGAGCATTATTTTATAATGTAATCTTCGAAATTCAATCGGTTTTAATCCCTGCCAGGGGCCGCCTCCCATCTTTTCGGGCCGTTCAATATGGAGTCACAAAACCGTCCGGGCTGTATATAATATTGACATTTTCGAATCGAGATTTGGCTAGGTACCCCTCAGTACCCAACGCTGAAATTTTCAGAAGTACTATTTTATAAGGTAATCTTCAAAATACAACCAGTTTTAGACCCCGTCAGGGCCCGCCCACCCTCTTTTCAAGCCGTTGAATATGACGTCACAAAAACGCTTGATGGGCTGTATATCACATTGATGTCAATGAAAAGCATTGGTGTATTCAGCAAAGTTGTATATTTTAATGATGCCAACAATTTTTTTAGAACATGATAAATTGATCAAATTTGAAAAAAGCACTAATTAACTCAAAAAACCAATATTAAGGTAGTCTTAAAAGAAAATCTATTATAGCTCTACAGAGTTATGATGTAGAAGTTTGGTGTCTTTAAAAAATGTTCATAAAATCAACTGCTCTGCAACTTTGTCGAATACATGGAACCATTATCTCGTAACTGGAAAAAGCTAGAATTTGGATGTGTAATACTAGCTTAAAGATTATTAAGGTGTGTATTTTAAAAGATGCGAAATATAATTTTGAGTAACTTCTTCCAAGACACCCAGTCTCTAAAACGTCGAAAAAGGGTAGAAAATATTTTTGACCGTCTTTATTCATATTCGTGCCACTGTGCGCCGTCCTCTAGACACAATTTCATCGATGACATTCTCCGCGTTGAGGACAGGTAGCTCCTTTTGCACTGCCTCGATTCTAGGACAGTCGAAGACCACGTGCTCCGATGTTTCGTCCACATTTCCACATTCTGCACAGAAAGGTGACCTTGCGTGACCAAACCGATTGACAGTGTTGGACAAAATATAAGACAAATCCCTCATAAAAACGGGTTTAGTAGAGATGTCAGTTGTAATAATCATCAAAACTATTTATTTTTGAGTTTGGATTTCGAGGGTTTGACGGACTTCTTGACGCTTTGCCAAAGTTTTTCGATCGGGGGACTGCGCTGGCCATTGCATGACCTCAACGATGTTGTCCGCAAACCATTTTTCAACGGTACGGGTAATATGTTTCGGATCATTAGCCTGCATGAACTGCCATTTCAACGATATTTCCCACGCCGCTTGTGGCAGCATAATGGTTTGCAAAATCTCGGCGTAGAGGTATTGGTCCATTATCTTCTGGATTCCACCACGAAAAGCATCCCCACACCATTATATTTCCGCCGCCGTACTTGAATGTTTTCAGCGGGTACTGTGGCTCGAATGCACTATTCGTAGGTCGTAGAACCCAGCGTTTTCCGTCAGATGCAATCAAATTGATTTTTGTTTCGTCTGACCACAGAACGATCCGCCATTTCTTCTCAACGGAACGGATGAATGTTACAAAGCCGTTTGATGTGACCATCATCCTTATCTATAGTCTTCTGGGGTCGTCCAGATGCCATCCGAACTTTATGGCCATGAATGGCATTGTACACAAAATTTGTGACTTTCTCTTTCGTCAATAACTCAGCTGCAAATTTGTTGTATTTGACGTTTTGGACGTTAGATAAGAACCTCCTTTATCAAACTATGTGGTAGAATCAGCGCGAAATCTGTTTGCATAGCAGTGGTTATGAAAAGAGAAAGTCGATGAAGAGAATCGATCAAAGCAGATAGGACCATTTGAAATGTTCATCGAGAAATGTTTTCGATCGCCCAAGCATTCCCATTCCCCCCATTCCCAGCAATCTCTCGTTAGTTTTTCCCTG